CCGAGCCCGGCCCGGCCGGCGCGCGTGTGTGTGGTGTGGAGCATAACCTTTTATTTTCTTCTAGGCATATGAGAGAAAGAGAAGGCTTATAAAGACCCTTTTTTCTATCCCATTTCCTATGTGGGACTAAACTTTTCCTCTTTTCCTCTACAAGCCCAAGTTTTAAGTTATCTTTATTATATAACTCCAACAGGTTTATCTAACAAAAATGCGTACACGATTATAAACCACTATTTTTACCAAACATCTAAAATCTTGATCCGCTTGAGCTATAATCTACCAACAAATTATAACCTAAGTGGATGTACTATAATCTCAGATTGCCAAACATGTTCAAAACAGATTACACAATGCCCGCATCCTGGCTATTTTCATATCTGAAAATAATATCTTACAAATATGTCCACACAACATTTATTATAAGGGTGACCATGCGTGAAAATAACATCTTATAAATATGTCCATACGGCATTTATTATAGGGGTAACCATGCATGAAAATAACATCTTACAAATATGTCCATACAACATTTATTATAAGGGTAACCATGCATGCGGTCCTATTTAGCAACCACATTATTGATGGGAGTCTGTAATTCCTTGCTCTGTAAGCTAATGGGCTTCATGAGCAATGATGTTATGTGGGCCTTGGTGTCATGAGTTGGAATGCCAAAACCATCTCCATGTTGATATAGGCAAATTGCCATTCGTCCTAGATTTACACACGCTTCTATAAAAAATCGAGGCAAGGAAGAACATAGTATAGCTTCTTCATTCAACTCTTTCCATGTCTCGAAAATGAGACTCGATATATGTTTGCGAGCTTCAACTTCTGAATCACCACTTTCTCTCATGTAACATTGTATAGATGATACTGAATCGCCTCTCTCTAGCTCTGCCTGTATCCATATAGAAACGCGAAAGAATATAAAATGTATTTGAACTTTTATACATATAGTATGGGTTACCCATAGGAAAGAAAGAATATCGGGTATCCATCGACACATGAAAGTCAAAATTATGTTCTAAATTTTTTTTTCTAAAAAACGGAAAAGAGAATTAACTCATCTAAATATCATGTACCAAAAACAAGAATTCTCAAGGCACATGGCACCAATCATGTTTAATTAATAGATTATTAAAAGGCGCACATATAATCAAAATATTTGACAGTATTTCTTGAGGGAAAAGAGGGTCTCGGTCAAGATATTGTAGAAATAAAAAGGTAGAACATAGAAGATCTATTAACTTAATACTGGGGAGCATGGTTTCATCAAACAATTTTACATTTTAGGTAAAAGTAATTAATTAGATAGGTTTCACTCAAAAATAACAATTAAAAGACATGAAAGTCTTCTACTCACTTAAAGGTATCAAATTGCTTACCGTTGAAGTTGCTAAATCATTATAAAGTCGGAAAATTTTTGATGCTAAACGAATGATTTTAGGATAATTCTCCAAGTGTTCTAATGCTTTCACTGTTATTTCTTGTCCCATGAGGGGGAAAGTATGTAACAATATGAGAGGCCCGGAAACTGACATCCAACCATTGTTGATGTACTCTTCAAATGTTGGCACATAATTATCATTTTGCCATTTTGCCTCCACCAAGAATGCTTTGCATATATCTGTCCACTGAAATGTAAAGTTTCGAATAATTAGTCATATAAAATATTAAAAAGCAAATGGCGGAAAATGTTATATATGTCCCTAGCTACTTTGTACTTTGCAATATCAATCAGCAACTATGTATTCTCATTATATTATTAAGAAAATATGAATTTAACAAATTATGTACGCATGAATTGGTGCGTCCGTCCTTCACGGGAAAAAAAAAAACAAGATTGCTAATATTTGTGAAACATATCTTCATATTTGTGAAACATATCTCCATAATCACCGAAGCTATAAATTAAATTGACCATATTACCGCTTTTCTCAGATAAGGTAGAATAGTCAATCCATTACTTTTTTGAAAATCGACAGTCATTTCACCCACAAGATTGCTAATATTTGTGAAACATATCTTCATATTTGTGAAACATATCTCCATAATCACCGAAGCTATAAATTAAATTGACCATATTACCGCTTTTCTCAGATAAGGTAGAATAGTCAATCCATTACTTTTTTGAAAATCGACAGTCATTTCACCCACAAGATTGCTAATATTTGTGAAACATATCTTCATACATTCTGGAAGATTTTCCAACTCCTCGACTTCCCATCTGTAGAAGTTTTTAGAAGAAAATACTTAAGATATGCATAATGTATAGGGAGAGAGAAAACAAAGTCAAGACATTATATTTGAAATAATAAACCGATTACCTTTCAACAGCACGTGTAAAGAGTTCGAGCTCATCCAAGGATCCGTAGACATCATAAACATCATCCAAAAGTACCATAAGAGTTATAACTTTTGTAAGCCCCTCGCGGGAATATCCAAAGTGAGGCTGAAATACTATTATAATCACTACAAAGAAGCACTCTAGTGTTCGATCTCTAGCAAACTCCAACGTCTTTCCAAGAGAGAGACCCATCCACCAACTGATGATGCATAAAAGAAAAATATTTTGTTAAGTATATTCAACGGGAGCATAGGAAACAAATAAATGCACTCATGCTAGTTTTTGATAGATAAATAAGTATATGATCTAGCACGTAGAGGTTTCCGAATCAAGCTAATTAATCTTAAACAAAACATCAAAAATTTGGAAATTGTAACAATAAAAAAAACCAAGACATTCAAATGTTATTATCATAACTATAAGTGGAGCGTATATACGCTCCACTTACATAATTTTAATTCTTGACGTGGGAATTCATTGTCATTAAATCGAGAACAATATATATTGATAATCACTAAACTAGTTAAAAATAACATAAGCGTACCTTGTAACCTTTGCAAGTTCCCTTTGATGTACATTTTGAACCATGTTGAAATCTAGCTTAGCAAACAAAAGCAACGCAGAATTTGTGTCTTCTTCCTTCTCGTAAGTATCTATGTACCTTCTAGCTTCTAGCCTTGTCGGTCTCCAGTGTGATGGGAGCTCCATTACATCTGCAATTTCCTTTGCAAATCTCAATTTGGATGCATCCAGCGTCTTTAGATGAGTGACTGCAAAAGCTCTTGCTGCGTCCATTGTGATCTCCTCTTTAAAAGACAGATAAGAAGCTTGATATAAACTCAACAATCCTTTTGCATCATGTGAAAGGCTTGCCTTGAAGCTACCGTTGACGTCCTTAAAGTGGTCAAAAATATCTGCACTCCAAAAATAAAGAGAATTCACAAGGTCGTCTTGGTGGAAACAATTCAGTGATCTGTCTACTGGGTAATTTCTGATGAATGGAAAGAAAAAGATTCTTGAATCAGTGAAGTAATGCTTGAATTCTTTGTTCTGCATTGACCCAGAATACGTTAAAGCTAATTGTTCAGTGAATAAGGATTACTAGCTAGTTTCTCAAGGTACGCAGATGACATATTGAATTAGGTGGTATTTTCTTTAATTTCATATTTCTTCTTCTATTTTAATTATTGGTGATATTTCGTTCTTGCTCTTCTGAGTTATACTAGATATACCATGTTTACTTATATAATTAGGCCCCGGAACTTTTAGCATTTTGAGTGAACCACCAATAACTTTCAAAATTGTATTAGACCCCCAATAACTTTTGTAGAAAGCGCCCAAAGTTTAACACCGTTACATCTGAAGTGGCACGTGCAACTCATGTGAGACCAAACTTCCTCTTAAATTATTTAAAAAATTCATGTATTATTTTTTTACATTTTTAACCCTAAAAATAAAATATCTCATGTTCAAGGCTGAAAATTTCTCATCTATTTTTTGCTGATGATTTATTGCTTTTTTTGCAAAGCTGATCTATACTCTATTACAAGATTAAAGGAATGCCT